TCAATGACTATCAGATCCAATGCCAAATGTGGATTCCAAATTATAGTGACTCTAAGGGACAGAGTAGGGCTGCTCCAAAGTGTTTCCATGGTTTCATCTTTAGCCCACTGCTTAATCCACTACACCATAAAGGCTTCTGGAATGATTATAATAGCAACATTTTTCCTAACAGTTTTCTTGGCATATAATTCACATATCATACAATTCAATGGTTCAATCACATCAAGAAGGGTTGTACAATAATCACCACAATGGGTTTTAAAATATTTTCTTCATTCTTGTACTTGTTATTAGCTGCCTATTTCTCCCCAACTTTCCCAATCATACCCCCAAGGCACCAGTAATCCAGTTACTGTCTCTAAAGATTTACCTATCCTGGATCACATATATGAAAAAATGTAATTAAAAAAATCTAACAACAACAATAATAAAGTAAAACAGATAAAAACCTCAATTGAAAAGAAAGTAGAACAAATTTAAATGGATCATAAGGGAGATCAAATGATAAGGTGGTGAATTTTAACCTAACTGCATCTGCAACAATTTACTTTTCAATGCATTCTGCATGATAGCAAGGCTATTCTCATCCTGGCCTATGGTCAGAGGGGCATCACCGGGGGTTTATCCACATGTATTTCCCCTTCGGTTTTTTTTAAAAGAAAAAAGAGGCAAGATCAAATGATATTACATTTTAACCTAACTGCATCTGTCACAATGAGCTCTACAATGCTCTCTGATAACAGAACTATTCACAACTCGCATCTGTGATCAGAGGGGCTTCTCTGGAGGCTTGATCCATGTGTGAACTCTGCAAATGGATTTTGGGCTTCGACTTTCATCCATGGCCTTCTGCAAACCAGCTGTTCACAATTTAAGCTCTGACACAATTCCCCCCTATAGAATTTGATTATTTACAATCCTTAGATCACACAGGCTGGTGTGCTTCTATCATGTGGACTGCTGATCCCTCACTTATATAGCTGCTTGTTTGAAAACGAGCCTTTAAAACCTCAGAAGATATTCTTTCTGATAGCCAAGCATCATCTAGTTTCTTCATCACACTTTGCTATAGCACCCAATACCTTTACGAGGGTGAGCATCAAGCAGGGCCATCTCATAAGAACCAATTGGGCTAGAATTAAGCGCAAGCCCCAAATCTATTCATGCACCTATGGTTTATGTATATCTCTGGTTCACCTTAAAAACATCGTCATTTTATATCATAGCAAGACTTCTTGTGTACTTGGTACAAGGGCAAAGTCCATGGGTGGTGCAAACAGTTGATGTGCTTTTCTGCTCATGGAAAGATCGGTGGTTTGAGTTTACCCAGGGCTGCCTCAGAAGAAAGACCTAATGATCTACTTTTGAAAAATCTGCCACTGAAAACCCCATGGGGCACAGTTCCACTCAGCGGGGCTGTCCTGAGTTAGCATCATTTCTGGTTTGGGTACCAAGAGCTGTGACAAACACGTTACAAGTGATATTCCTTTGTAGCCTACCAATTTGTATACTTTATCACCTTTGGAAAGTGGATACAAGTATTGCTGGGAACTTTATCAAGGTCTCACATTCGGGAATTGGTAGGATTGGGATTTAAACTTACGTTTTCTACCTCATAAACACAATCCTGTTTGGGGACCTGCGTGCAAAACAAAAACAAAAACACCCACTGCCATAAAATTGATGCCTACTCATAGCGACCCTATAGGCTGGAGCAGAACTGTCACGTCGTGTTCAAAGGCTGTAATCTTTGTGGCACAGACCTCTCACCTTTCTCCCATGGGCGCCTTGTTGCTTCAAACTGTCAACCTTTTGGTGAGCAGCCCAAGAGGTGTCTAAAACTCCTCATTCTCAAAAGCTCAAACTCACTGCCATAGAGTTGAGCTGACTCATAGCATCCCTATAGAACAGGTTAGCACTGCCCTTGTGGATTTCTAACACTATAACTCTTTACGGGAGTAGCAAAGCCTCATCTTTCTCCTGAAATTTCTTCATGAGAGAGATGGAAATACTGTACACATTTAATCTATTTCTAGTCATGCCCTTTTATGCCATTCACCAATTCCTCCATTCCTGAAATTGGAACCATTTTAATCTCTCAGGATCATTCACCTAACATAAGGATCTGTAATCTCTTTTGCTGGGAAATATCTAACGGGAGCCTTGATGGCACTGTCAGTTACACATTGGAGTGCTAACTGCAAGGTCAGCAGTTCAAACCCACCAACTGCTCTGAGGAAGAAAGACAAAGCTTTCTGCTCCATTAAAGATGTACATAAAGCTTTTGGAAATCCTATGGGATGGTTCTACTTTGTCCTGTAGAGTCCACTGTGTGTCAAATGGACTTGATGGCAGTGGATTTAACAAGATAGGCCCAATACAAAACCCACTATGCCCCTAGGTCTCTCAACAAGATAGGTACTTAGCTATTTCTATATTATTTTCCTGTGACCAGGTGTCTTTTGTTAAACATATGTTTTGATGTATAGCACAAAAAAAGTATTTAGCACTAGAGCATTTGTATTCATTTACTATTCTATTTTCTCTAATACATGATTTCTTGATGCTAACACACTAAAAAACAAAACGAACAGGCAAAAACACTCCCTCTGCACCAAAACCTCATCCAAATGAAACTTTCCTTTCCGCGGCCCAGGTAAACTGAAAGACTGGACTTAACTGCTGGCATACCTTTACATGTAAATCAACAACCTGACCTATGGTTAAGTGAGAATGCTCCATTTTCATTTTTCCACAAAGATAAAGAAGAGATACTTTACTGCTTTAATATGCAACTTAGCTGATAGTCAAAATTCAAAACACACTAAAATCAAGTTCATACCAACTGACTCACAGCATCCCTCTCGGACAGGGTAGCACTGTCCCTGTTATTTCCAAGACTGTAACTCTTCATGGGAGTAGAAAGTCCTGGAGTGGCCGAAGGTTTCCAACTTCAGATCTTGTGGTTAGCACCCCAGTGCATAACCACTGTGCCACCAGAGCTGCCACCTACTTATCTTGGTGCTTACTGGAAGCTGTCCAGCAAGAAAATAGACAACCTGTAAACATCCCAATCTATCTGCATGCCTATATATATGTGGAGTTCAGGTAGCCATGGGTTAAGCATTGGACTGCTAACCCAAAGGTTAGTAGTTCAAACACACAAGTCACTCTATTGGAGAAAGGTGAGGCAGACTGCTTCCATAAACATTTACAGCCTTGAAAACCCTCTGGGACAGTTCTTATCTGTCCATAACAATGTTCCCAAAGTGGGCTGCTGTGGGGGGAGGTCAGATGCGCAGGCATTCCCTCCCCTGAGGGAATCAGTTGCCAGACTGCTGTCTCATCCCTCCACAGGGGTGGGCCTGTTCCCTGCCTCTGGGGACAATGGACAGGCTCCTGTAGGAGGGGTTTACACCCTACTGATAATGTTCCTATGGAGACCCAGAGACCACCCTCTCATTGCTGTGTAACCTATAGTGCAGCCACTTCCTGTGACGTATGTCTTTACCTGTAATTAGTGGGCTGAATTGCCCCCAAAAGGTATATAGGTGTAAGACTTCAAGGACTTCTCTCTCCGACTGTGACTCTGAGCTCCTTGCTGCTCACTCCCTGGTCACTCCCCTCTCCCTTGTTCCCTTCCCCTCCTTCCCTTCCCCCTCTCTCCACGTGGACCACCAAGCTGGGCTGAGGTGAGCAATGTTGCTATGTATCATGCCTGACTGTATTATTGTATTATCTCTCATGCTCTCGATGACTTTAATGTAATACTTATATATCTCAACCGTACAATTGTGCATTACTGAACCCAGAAGTAGTATTACTGAACTCGTAGGAGTAGCAGCGGGTGGGGGCTGGGCCTCTCACCTTCCCTCCACCTCCTAAGACATATTTTATTTAATACTACAGGCTGCTAAAGCAGATGCCTACAATTCATCCTGGATTATGAGCTATCACACAAAAGTTTTTAATTGCCAGAGAGACACTGAATCTTTTTTTTTTTTTTTTTTCCCTGAAAGGCAGGTAGTAGGTTTGAGGATCCAGCCTGCAAGGGCCATGAAATTCATCACTACTAGCTAACCTCATTCAATTCGCTCACTGCCATTGAGTCAAATGCTAACGCATAGCCCCTGTGGGTTTCCAAGACAGTAGTTGTTTATGGGAGTGGAAAGCCCAGTCTTTCTCCTGCAGAGCTGAAGGTGGTTTTGAACTGGCAACCATATGTATGCCAAACATACGTATGGTATCCCAGCCCAGCTCATAGCCACTGCACCACGGGCTCCATAGCTAACCTCACGCACCTCACCAATGAGCAGCCATTCTAGCCATCCCACTAGGAGTAAGGTAATTAAAAGGTTTGATTAAATACAGCAGTTCCTTTCCAAGTTGATAATTTTGTACGGCCGGTAAATGATATTATAAACATCCGAATAGCACCTGGCAGGATAAAGGTTACCCGCCCTGGTCTAGTCACTTGCTATTAGTCAGAATGAACTCCATGACAGCAGCCCACGCCACCGCAACCAACATACTGTACATGGATTTGGGGTCAAGGAAGGACAAAAAAGATAGGCGTTGAAATCCTAGTTAGGGGTATACTTAACTTTAAGGGCAAACGTTTGATAAAGGAAAGGACAACTCGTAAATATAAAACTTTAAAAAAGTAATTGTGTCACAATCAAAACGTCTACGTGGAGGAGTCAGGAACGCTGCAGGACGTCATGGAAAAAGAACGTCTTTGCCACAGGAACTCAGAGAGCCCCGACTTTAGTTCTTTCGGTGGTGAACGGTGCAGGAGACTTGAACAGGTCAGGGGACCATTCTGGGTTTTAGGTGACTTAACCTCTCTGGGGAGGGGGGTGGAAATGGATAGGGTGCGATGCATGTATTAATCCAGCGTGTTTAGTGAGCACCTAACGGAGTGCTCACCCGTTTGGGGACACTGGGGGTACCACTACAAGAGGCCTCGGCCCCAGGGCCACTTTTGGGATGCTTCTTACCCCACACGCGGGCTGACCATCTCCTGGAAGGAGCGCTCCCCAAGGGCAGCGGAACTGCCGCCTGGCTTTCAGGGACAGCCAGCACATGGCGGGAGGGAAGGAAAGGAAGGCACCTTCAGACTCCTGGCCTGAACATCGGCTACCTGGCCAGAGGGACGTCACCCACGGGCAGCAAACACCGAGACAAGGAAGCTCGCAGGGGGCCAGGTCGCAGTTTTGGGGCCGCCGCACCTCGGCACCAGCCCCCGAACTTTCCCTGCGGCTCATGCAGATCACATCTGACTCGGAAATGAGGTCTTGACACAGAAGGCCACGAAAGGTCTCGGTCAGTGCCCTCCTACAGCCCGAACCGCTAGCCTAAAAGGTCTGCCCTAAGCCTCCCGGCAACCGTCTCTCGACTCAGTAACGCCCCCAACACCTACCTGATCTGCCGCCGCTCTCGCGATATTTCCAGAGTTACGCCCCCTTAACTCCCGCCCCCCGCCTCCATCCGCCAATGACTCGGGAGCTGGGAGCGGGCTTTGCTGTGGAGTGGGAGGGCTGCCCTGAATTCTTCCTCGCGGGCGTTGAAAATGGGCGGGACCGAGGCGGGGCTCCGGCGTGGGAGGGGCCTCAAGAGGGGCAGGACACGCGCGGTATCTCGCGGGATTGGAGACCAGGAAGACGCCTACTGAGCCAGGCTGCTGGTGCAGCCGCGGCTGAGGCAGCGGGCGTAGCTGCATCAGGACCTTCAGCTTCCGAGCCACGCCTGGTCTCCAGGGGGAGGCGGGACCCGGCCAGGCCCGGGCCGTGGAGGCGCACCGTGCCCGCCGAGCTTGTGGGGAGATTCAGGCTGTGGCCTGTCTGAGGCAGTCAGAGAGGCGCCCACCCTCCTGACAGAAAAGATGGCGGCGATGGCTCCTGGAGGTGGCGGCGGCGGCGTGAATCCCTTCCTCAGCGATACGGACGAGGAGGACGACGAGGTAGCGGCGACCCAGGAGCGGCGGTCAGGACTTCGGCTGGGTTCCGGGGGTGGCCTGGATCCTGGCTCGGTGGGCTCGCTGTCGCCACAGGACCCTGTGGCTTTGGGGAGCAGCGCGCGGCCAGCGCTCCCTGGGGAGGCGGCCGCGGTGGCGCTGGGGGGCCTCGGGGAGCCCCCGGCCCGACTGTCCATTGATGCCATCGCCGCTCAGCTGTTGCGCGATCAGTACTTGCTGACGGCCCTGGAGCTGCACACCGAGCTGTTAGAGAGCGGCCGCGAGCTGCCTCGGCTGCGCGACTACTTCTCCAACCCGGGCAACTTCGAGCGGCAGAGCGGGACCCCGCCGGGGGTGGGAGCGCCCGCCTTCCCCGGAGCAGCCGGCGTCGGAGGCGCCGGAGGCCGGGAGCCGAGCACCGCGTCGGGAGGGGGACAGCTCAGTAAGTGCTCGTCCCCGGGTCGCTTGTGGCGGAAGGTTGGGGTCCCGTGGAGTTGGGGACCGGGAGGAGTCTTCCTGGGCCGGGGGGCGCAGAGCGTCGGAACGCTGGAGAGCGCGCGATCCGGGAAGGGTTTTGTTTCGCCTTGGAAGCTGAAGGGCCTGACTGTCAGCGCTCCGCGGGTCTCCTGCCCCCGGCTGGGTGCTCGCTCGGTCCCGGCACCCCTGTGGGTGTCCGCGCCCGTAAGATCCCACGAATTTCCAGCCCGCTCGTAAACTGGCTTATCGCTTTAAGCATATTTCCTTTTCCTCCATTTCCCTGAATCATACGGCCCAGGGAATTGTGGTCCTTAAAATGTATACCCTCGGTCACTTTCTGATTCTCTGTGGGTGGTGTGTCTCGCTGGCCGTTGGCGGCCACCTAGGTCACTTACCGTGGTTAGCAAAGACTGGACGGGAAAAAGTCAGGTGCAGCCTTATGACCCTTTGCCTTTGGGATGACTGCTGAACCCCAAAGCCGGGCTTTCGCCTGCAGGAGTTGTGTTCTGTTTATATGTCGCAAGTAAATTTCATTCGGTTTCCTGGCGTTAATTTCAGTGGGAGCTGGGCTGCCAACGTGCTGCCTGTTGTTGATCTCATGGTCTCCACCCACCACCTAGCCGGCTATTTTTCTCTGCGTGAGTGATGGGCGTTACTTTTTCACCTTGTTATTAGCATTTTAGCCTTCTAGAGTGATCGTTTACAGTCTTCTTCATACATTTATAAATATTTCTTTGGTCCTGAAGACTCAGTGATGCTCACTAAGATTCCCGGTTATCCATACCTTTAAGGAGAACTTTCAGGTCTTGCCCAAATTGATGGTATGAGGTGCTTTATATGAAGCCAACGGGAATTTACTAACGTGTTAAATGTGACACGCAAACAAAATAAGAATTGGCTTTATTTTATTACTTTAAAAAATAGACTTTATTATTATTTTCCAAACCATTTTATTAGGAGCTAATCCAGACTTCATACCATTCCATAGTTTAACCAGGCTTTTATTTTAGGGTTACTACATTACTTAATAATGATCTTCACATGGCAAGCTCTTATTAATTCATCAAGTGCCAGTGCAAATACACCTTTATAAAAGCTTTCCACGGAAACCTCTGACCTACTTAGTTCTTTTCATTGCATGGCTCTCAAACCTTAATCACAGCGTTTAGTTCTTCAGTATTTTATTTATTGACAATTCCAATAAATAGAGCATTTTTATATTCTCTACTTTGTAACGTCCCTGGCTTATTGGAGAACACAATTGAATTGTAACTGCTGTGTTTTCTACTATAGCGTATAAGTATAAAGAGTTATTATGTACTCTTAACTTTCAGTCATTTACTTTTAAAGAATTGCTTTATCTGTTTAGCCTATCTTATTATGGCTTAATCACACTGTTTACCAGGAAAACATCTTCTTAGTTAGGACTTTTTGTATCAAAGAGTTGTATATATTTGTATAAGCTCTCAAAGTAATGTAAATCCTGTCATCAGATATTATAAATGTAATTTAGGCTACAGTAATCATTTGTGCCTGTGCTTTTCTGTTCTCACTTAATCGCACCCTTTAGGTCCTGGGTCCTATATACATACATGGCTGATGTAAATATAGTATATTTTTAAGTTAATACAAAGCAAATTGAAGGCACAAAAAAAGTTATGAAATACAGATGAGTAATAAGAAAAAGTCAAAATTATTTATAATTCCACTATCTGCTGTTAATGGTCTTTGCCTTTCTTGATTTCTGTGCATATGTTTTAAGAAGTAAAAATTGCATTAAACTCTTTTACATGGCTTTATAATTAACCTGTGAATGTACCCCCATCTCATTAAATATTTTACAACATAGTGGTATTGTACTATCATATTTTATTCAGTAAGCTTTTACTTTAATCTCTTTAGATTTCTCTGTGTCTCTATTATAAAGAAATTGGGGATGAGGCATACTTTCAGGCCCATCCAGAATTATTTCCATAGACTAAGTTATTATGAGTCCTTGGTTCAGAGGATTTTTTTTTAAATGAAAATCTTTGATTAAATGAGGTAAATTGCCTTCCCAAAAAGACTTTACTAATTTTCTTTCATCATTGTATCAACATTTCATCATCTGAAAGGCATTCTTGTCTGATGGCTTTGAAGTGAACTTGTTTGGCAGTTCATAAATTTTAGCTTGAGTATTTTAAAATTACCCTTTCTTCTTTTACCTTTCCCTCCTTCCTTGAATTGCATTTATCAATTTTAGAGCTTTTTTTGGTCAATCTCCTATTTTAACTTTGAATAGTACAATATACAATGGATGAGAATGGCAATTTCAGAAGTGTATTTCTTTTTACATAAGTTTATTTTCTTTTTTTTTTTAATGTTTGTTTGTTTTTTCTCTTTTTTAACATTTTATTAGGGGCTCATACAACTGTTATACCAATCCATACACACATAAATTGTGTAAAGTGCATTTGTACATCGTTTCTCAAAACATTTTCTCTCCATTTAAACCCCCGACATTAGGTCCTCATTTTTCCCCTCCCTCCCCGCTCCCCCCTCCTGCATGAGCCCTTGATAGTTTATAAATGGGTATTTTGTCATATCTTGCCCTGTCCGACGTCTCCCTTCATCCCCTTTTCGGTTGTCTGTCCCCCAGGGAGGAGGTCACACACAGTTCCATGTAATCGGTTCCCTCTTTCCTACCCATTCTCCCTTTACCCTCCCTGTTTTGCCACTCACACCACTGGTCCTATAGGGCTCATCCGTCCTGGATTCCCTGTATTTTCAGTTCCTATCTGTACCAGTGTACCTCCTCTGGTCTAGCCAGTCTTGCAAGATAGAATTCGAGTCATGGTAGTGGGAGCGGGGAGGAAACCTTTAGGAACTAGAGGAAAGTTGTATTTCTCACCATTGTTACATCGCACCCTGACTGGCTCATCTCCTCCCCGAGACCCCTCTGCAAGGGGATCTCCAGTGGCCTACTAATGGGCTTTGGATCTCCACTCCGCACTCCCCCCATCATTCACTATGGTAAGATTTTTTGTTCTGATGATGCCTTACACCTGATCCCTTCGACACCTCGTGGTTGCATAACAGAAGTGTATTTCTTAATAGAACCCAGCATACAAAGCTTTTTATTTCCTTCGTTCTAAGATATTTATTAACTTTTTAGTGTTTCTAGAGTTGGGATATGGGTTATAAGCCATGCTATATCAGTTTATTTAGCAGCATTTTTTTCCCTTAGTGGCTCTTAAATAAATAATAACGCAAGTTGTGGTCTCCCTCTGCACCCCCCAGTATGCTCCATGTGCTGAAGGCTTAATTTCATGTTCTCTTATTAAATAGTTCTGGCTTAGTTCATTCTACAAAGTATTCACTGGCTATGTCTACACACCTTATGCCCCATGCTGCTTGGTCATGTGAATTTGAGATGTCATCTGGCCCAGAAGCAGTTGAGCCAGTTATGGCTAAAATTCTAAGAAGTCAGCTTATGCTAGTTATAACCAGTGCATTCATACATCTATGCTCACAGTGACAGGTTTCCAAAAACTCATTTCAACCAATATAATACTAAAAACTAATATTTATGCATTTTTCTCCCCCTCACAGTACTTTTTATAGAGAAAAAGGAGAATATGGTGGTAACGGTGACTGTGGGGGCTTCTTACACACTTTATTGTCATAAGGCCATAGATTGCTGGGGATGATTTCCCTATTGTATACTGGCAACAGTAAGACTCAGAGAGTTCACCTGTAACTTGCCCAACGTTATAAAAAATGTGAAGTGGTGGTGCCAGGATCCAAAGCCAAATATGCCTGACTACAAACCTCTTGATCTTTTCATAATGGTCATTGCTACTTTAATATTTCCTAATGTTTTATTAGCCATGCATATTGACTGTTATTAAATCGTCTTCTTAGGGGTACTTTACATTCAGCTCAAATAAGAAATACTTCCTTTGGAAAAAAGGGCAGCATTTGCCAAAGAGCAAAGAGCCCTCCGTGGATCTAGTCTAATTCACTTAACCAGTGCCCTCTATCTGAATGTTTTGGTTGACTCCAAGTGTTTGTCTTAAAAAAAATGCAACAATGATATCCTCAGGCAAGTATTTTAGAGTACTTTTATTTCACTCACTTTTGAAATTTTAGTATTTCAAATGCATATACATTTAAATAACATTTTATCAGTTTCACCATGTTATGTGACTATTATTGCTGATGGGAGGAAGGTGTTACTATTAATTAAAATTATACCTGAAAAGTTTCAAAGAACCATAGGATGATTATTAGGTAGGAAATTTTGCTTTTCAATTCTTCTGCTCCAGACGTATTGTAAATGATATTATTGTATGTGAAGTGCCAGTTTTAACATGAATTTCCTGGAAACGAATGAAGTATCTTCCTTATTACTCTGGCTTTTGAAATAAAAAATAAAGGCTGGGTTAATGTCTTAAGTGTAAAATTCAATGGGGTCTATGCCTGCCGACCCATGAGGAATTTCAAAAGGCTAGTTAATGTATTATTGATCATACTATTTCTTATTAATTCTAGGAAGTAGAGCCATCATAAGGTGGGGTGGGGAGCATACAAAAAAAAAAGAAATACTTCCTTTGTATAAGTCTGGGGTACCCTGTTGTACCTGTTCTAAAAAGGTGACTCATTGTAATAAAATAGTCTTCACTATGATTTGAAAATCTACCATGATAGGAAAGCAGTTAACATTTGTAAATAATATTAGGCATATATTGTATTTTTATCCCTATCTTTGAGATAAAACTCACAGAAAAAAAAATGCACCCATTTTAAGTGTAGTTTGATGAGTTTTTAAAAACAGAGTCAATCATTTACTGCTACAATTAAAATATTTAAAATTAGGAAAGGTGTGCGTCAGAGTTGTGTTTTCTCACTGTGTTCAATCTATGTGAGCAAATAATCAGAGAAGCTAGAGTATATGAAGAAGAATATAGGATCAGGATTCGAGGA